ATAATTTATTTAAATTTTTTTTTCCACGCTTGTCAAAATCGAAGGGTTTTTCAATGCTTGATGGGCCTACATGATTGAGCTTGGGCCTGGGTCATTTCACAATCTTTGCGAAATAAATCTCCTGTATAAAACGAGAAAGGAAGCACGAGGAGATAATAAAAAATGCACAAGTGTTTGCGGAGTTTTATTTTTTTTGTAATCTCAGCATGGAACAATATGGGACGTTATTGAGTTATGCTTAATGGGAGTGTTTGGTATTATAAGTAGAGGTTATCTTGTTATGATGTTTTTTTTTATTTTAAAGTTTATTATTAATATCAGAATATCAACATAACAATAAAGATACAAAAATTAGAGTAGTTGTTTTTTACAAACAATGTTTTTGAGCGCAATATTCAACATGCTATTAGTATATTTGATATTATATTTGATATTGTTGTGTATAATATTTTTAAAATTTATTTTTTTACATAAAAATATATTGATTTTTTATTTATTTTTGGTATTAGCACATTAAATTGTAAAAATACTAAAAAATATAAATTTGATATATTTCAAAATTAAACATATTTTTAAAATACTTTTTCAAACACAAAAACAAATATATTTTTGAATTGTTTTCTTAGCTTCAAATTATTTATTTTATATTTTTAGATCATTTTAATATTATAAATAATTTCAAAAATAAAAAAATGCTATTTCGATATCCTTTTAATAATTTTTTTTTAAATAATATCAATTATATTTTTAAACGAATACTGTTGATCTATCTGTTAAAATACATTTATATCTTTACAAGAATAAAATTACAAGTTTAATTAACTTGTTGGAAAGAACAATCACAAACTTCAAACATAACTAGTCCATCTCTTTAAAAAGGGAATGTGGAAATACTCGGGTCGGAAAAACCAAAAAAAAAAACCGGACACCAATTCATTGCTCAACGCCCAATTTACAGGTCTTGAAGGTCATGCCTAAACAGCCCAGACAAGCCTGCAACGGCTTCCGGGCCGGACGGATTTATTAATAAAATGAAAAAGTGGAACTCCATAATCAGTAACTCTCATGAAAGATCAAGCGTCAATTTCTTTCCTACTTAGTTTCTTTCAAAAGCTATGCAGACAAGATCAACACAAGCCAATGATTTTAATCTTGATTGACCCATGGAGTGAGGCTGGTTGCGTCTTGGCTAGGTTAGTTTCGTACAAACTATCTTTTAAGCGATAAAGTTTGGTTTGTCCACGAGTGAAATAACACTGGTTATTTATCCCGTGTTTTATTATAGGCTGATAATTTTTTTGATAAAAAAAATATTGGTTTTCTCAACATATTTTTTACAAAAAAATCTTAATCATAAATTAAAAGATTTAAACATGCATTTAATTAAATAAATTAATAACCATATATATCATTAAATAAAAAAATATTAATATTTTTATTCAATTCACTTCACTACAAGTTAAATGATTGTTTTTTTTAATGTGAAAGAATAAATATGTAGGTGTTGTTGATGCGTTTTATCATGCTAAATAAAAAAATATAATTATAAATCAAAAATTTAATACTTGCATAAAATAAAATAAATCATATACATTAATAAAAATATTTAAAATTTTAAATTAAAAGTAGAAAAATAGAACAATATTACATTTGTTACATTAAAACACCTTTTACTTTTGTCTTGTATAGTAATTTTTCAAGAGAGGAGTGTAAGGGAAAAAAATTACAAAAAAAAATTACCGAATAAAAACACAAAAAAATGTGTAAATAGACCAAGTATTGATAAGTATCCCAAGTACAAACAAAAAAAATATCATTTTTTTATTAAAAAAGTGTTTGGAAAAAAAAGAAAAAATTAAAAAAATATATTTTTAAAAAATGGCTATGAATAAGCTAGGTATAAAGTGATAGAATATGTTAAGTATAGAGGAAAAAAGAAAAACTCTTAAAAAATCTATTTTTAAAAAAGAGAAAGAAGATTACGGGTTTGCCACGTATACAATAATAAAGTTGGTTTTTGCGGCTAGATCTATTTTATCATGTAAGAAGAATAAAAAAAATATTGAGATCAAACTCTTCTCATGAAATAAAAATTGACACTAAAATTAACTGATTTGATAACTAGAATCATCATTAATAATGAACTTTTTCCTTCATATCAGAATAGGCCTCTCATGAAAAAGGGATTGGAAAACGGGTGAAATGAAGTTTTATATTAAAACTAATTTTTTTAAAATAAAATAATTAGTTATCTAATAGTAAAAAAAAAAATGAGGAATTAAAATAAACTTTCAAGTGAAATTTTAATATATTATCTATTTTACATGTTATTTATATTTTAGCTTTTTATCATTCAGTTCAACCCTTTAATCGAAAAAAATATGAAAATGGATGTTGATCCGGGTTCAGTTCGTGTAAAAAAAAGTTAAAGGATAAAATTAGAATTATTTTAAAATTTGATAACTCTAATTCAAAGGGTTTACGAGAGGATGAATAATGAAAAATACTACAGTGCTTTCATGCTCGGGCCACGCGACTAGCGTTCGTTAACAACGTAAAATCACCAAAATGAAACTACGCGGGCAATTGCATGTTTAACATTTGGTTGAGGGAAAATACGCGGGCAATTGCACGTTTAACATTTGGACGAGGGAGTTTTAGGCTTAATTGCCTTGATGTACTTGTAAATAGAGACGAGTTTCAAGATTTAAGACACTGGATAAAATATTCCTTATCTTTTCCTCAGAGAATTCTGTAAAATCAAATGTCGTTACCTAAATGTAACTGAGTTGAAAACAAATACGAGCTGTCTTTATGATCATATACACTATTGATGAAGGCATCGTTTAAGAATACAGTATAAATTATATTTTTAAAAATTTTAATATTCTATTAAAAATAATTTTTTATATATTTTAAATTGTTTTGGAGTGCTAATTTTAAAAATAAAAAAATATTATTTTAATGTATTTTATAAAAAAATATTTTTAAAAATAATTATAATCATATTTTCAAAGAGCCTCAAAATCATTAACATGATAAATGCTAAATCACATAAAATTTAAAACATTAAAAAAAAAACATATATATTTAACTTCCCTAGTTAAAACAAGATTTTTCAATGAACAATAACACCACAGCTGCATAATATTTGAATGTATTTATTTGCTTGTTCATATAATCTATATTTTATAAATTTTTTTAACTGTTTTGATGTATCGACTTTGAAAATAATTTTTAGAATTTATATTTTATAAAATTTATTTATTTTATTTTTAATAGTTTTAATATACTAATTTTTAAAATAAAAAATATTATTTTAATATATTTTTAAAAACAAAATTTTAAAAAACCACTACAACAATATCAAACCAACCACTCATTTCTTTCCTCCAATGAAAAAGAAAAATAGAGAAGGTTTTCATTTCACTTTCTTTCGAGGCGAGACATCATCAACTTCTCGACTTCGGGTCGAGATGTCGAAACCGAAAAAATTATCGGAACCAACTTTGATGCAAAGGGAGTTGCACGTGGACGCTGGGTTGGACCATTGTCTATATGGCTCTCCAACCCCTCGGTACGGGGCTGTTTCCTTTCGAGCTATGCAGACAGCTCACTTGCGTACTGCCTTAAACCAAGGGTGCTGGGCCCCTCACTTGCGTACTGCCCGGAACTTGGAGCCTCTATTAATGAATTCCATCTTCTTTTTATTTTTATTTTTTATATTAAAAAAATGGTATGAAAATGCTTTCCAACAAGTACGCAACCTGAGGATTCTCGAAAAATACACACTAGCTATCCGTGCCAACAATCGTCCTGTGATTTAAATTCGGTTTTTTCTTAGCTGAAAGTTTTTAGTTTTTAAGAAAATTATATTATTTCACACGTGGTTCATGACAACTGAATTCTATTTCACCATATTTGAAACTGTCTGGATTAAATTCAATTAAAAAATATTAATAAAATCTTATATCTTAAATCATGTTAAATATTAAAGGTTAAATTTTAAATAAAACTCAATCTCTAAAAAAATAAATCAACATTAACTTTCATAATTTACAACTCTAAATAGAAAAAATCTAGTATTAAAACTATTTTTTTTCAAAATACTTATCTAGTTTATTTAAAAAAAACATTTGAAAAAATAAGATGGAGACAATGAAGGTAATATAAAAATAAAATAAAATGAATTTCATTTTATTCAATTATATGAATCCAATTTATTTATTAATTTAATTTAAATTTAAATTTAAATCAAATATTATGATTAAATTCAAATACAACAAAGAATTAGTTTCAAATACTGTGTTTTGTAGATGCATCCATCAATTAAAAAGAACATATTGAAACGCTTGATATAAATAATAAATGGATTTACACGGATTCAAAGCAAAGGTATACAGATAATTTGAAGGAAAAAGGTGACGATTATCCTTATAGCACAATCTAACCTTTTAAATAAATAAAAAAAAGGGCAGTCTCTAAGATAAGAAAAAAGCTTCCATGTAAAACATGACCACCAATCTTTGAACACCACTGCAATCCAGTAGATTGATGCAAATTCAAAGGTCAAAGAAAGATTTTTGAAGAATTTTTTTATTTATATTTAAATATTAATTTTATTTTAAAAATTTATCTAGAACTATAATTTTTTTTTATTTTTTAAAGCCTTTTAATTTATTTAGATTGATTTTTTAAATTTATTTAAATAGTTGCTCTAAAACGTAAACTACTTGGAGAAAATATTGAGTACTAAAATATGAATTAAAATCTTTGTATAATTTTTTATTTTAAAAATCTTATGTTATTGTATTTGCTTTTCTCTACATAAGAGATTTTATTGTTGTTGTTTTTTTTTTTTTTTTTTTCAAAAATAATAATCGAAGCTTCACCACGTGTACACGGGGCCCGAACCTTCCAGCACAAAAGGCAAAAGGCAGTGGCAAGATAGGTAATTTAGGCACTCAACAAAGCCTCATTTTCTCACCGTCACCACCTCTCACTCAATTTCACGCACTCGTTATCATTACACGAAGAAACCACTGTAAAAGCACATAACATCCCAACAGAAACGTCGAACTCTCTCGCTCTCTCTCTCTCCCCGTCTCTCCGGCATCGGTTTTTTTCGACCGTTGTGAATTTTCTCTACCAGGTAACCGTCACTACCTTCCTTTCTTTTTCTTACACCATTTGTTTGGTTCTCCAGAAAATTAATTAAAGAAAATGCTGTACAGTTTCTTGATCATATTCAATGCGCGAAGCTCCAAAATAAATAAAATTATTATTCTTTTTTCTTTTTCTTTAATTTCAAGTTTGAAGAACAAGTTATTAATGCTAAGCTGAGTTTTGATACAAACTATAAAGCTTGCTTTTTTTTTTTTTGGAGTTCACGTTTTGTTTTCTCTAGATTTTTCCGAGGAGCCAAACAGGATTTTTTGTGGCATTTTACATTTTTACCCTCGCTCCATTCTTCTCAACCTATAAACTTCCAAGTTTTGTCAATAACGAGTTCCATGGCTAGTTTTTAAGTAATCATGGGATTATTGTAATTGTTTTAAGAGCTTTTCTTCTTCTTTTCTTATCTATCTGTCAAAAAAAAAAAACTTTTTGTTTGCAACCAGGGAGGGACTTTGTATATTTTCAAGGAAGAAGGAAATAAAGAAAATGGCTGCTGCCCCTTTCATGCATTTCTTAAATTATCTCGATTGATCTAAATTTGATGATGTTATTATTAATTAACTTGACCAGAAACTAGGAGAGAAAAACGTTATTAAACAAACAAGTCTATAACAGGATCTTAGTTAACATGTAAGAGGTTTAATGAATTGTTGTTTGGAAACAATGTTGTTTGTTAACTCATTTATGCCATCTCCATTATGTAAGAGGTTTAATCAATTTCTGTTAATTGATTTTATTATTATTTTTTTGTTTGTGGTGGGTACTGGGATGATTGTAGGAAAGAACATTGTGAGCTAGTTTGTTTTATGAAACAGATGTTGGATGTAACTAAAGGGATTTTAAGGTCAATAACATCAATGTTATTAAAAATATTATGTGAGTTACATTTCATCTCTTAGCTGTTATAGCACGAGCATTTTTTCTTGTCTAGCTTACCATGATTCTGTTATTCAATGTGTTATATTTGGCATTGCAACTCGCCGACTTTTCTGGGGAGTTATCGCAGCAAGATTTATTTTCACTCATTTATGGGTAAATTTAGTGCTAATTTGCTCCAAAATATATCAGTACTTCTTATATGGATTTTTCATCTTTTTTTTTTTTCCTTTCTCTCTTTTCCTTTTTTCCATTCATTCTCTGATCGGTATTTCATAGCTTTAATATCATCCACTAGGGCAAGAATAAACCCCATCTTACACCATCCTCAAATTTTGAACTTGGAGATTTGGCAAGTTAAAATCTTCTTGGACTTAAACTTCCCCTCAGTGGTGCTTTAAGCAGGTGAATATCTTAGGTGGCACTACAACCTTTGAAGGGGAGGCTATAATCAGGTTTATCAGCATATGGAAGTTCGAGGAGCTTTTAGTTCAGATGGTGGAAAAAGCCATCGTGAATTAACCCCTCTAAGGCTGATCAGGGGAGTTGTATGTTTATTGGTGCTACTTTTGACAGCATTTATGACATTGGTTTATTGCGGCTTTGTGAGTGCTGTTCTGTTGCGACTCTTCAGCATACATCTCAGCAGGAAAGTAACATCCTTTTTCTTTGGCTCTTGGTTAGCTCTGTGGCCTTTTCTCTTTGAAAAGATTAATAAAACCAAAGTAATTTTTTCTGGCGAGATTGTTCCTGCTAGGGAACGAGTTTTGCTTATTGCAAACCACAGAACTGAGGTTGACTGGATGTACTTGTGGGACCTTGCTTTGCGGAAGGGATGTTTGGGATGCATTAGATATGTTCTTAAGAGCAGTTTGATGAAATTACCTGTATTTGGCTGGGGGTTCCACATTTTGGAGTTTATCTCAGTTAAGAGGAAGTGGGAGGTTGACGAATCAAACATACACCAAATGCTTTCAAGTTTTAAGGATCCCAGGGATCCCCTCTGGCTTGCTCTTTTCCCAGAAGGAACAGATTTCACGTAATTTCTTCCTCTCTCCTTTTCCTTTTTTGAATGCTTTGACAAGGCTCTGTGTTCCCCCTCTGATCAAAGTTATCAACACAGTGCATTAAATTTTTTCAAGACTAGATGTCCTGCCTTTTGTAGGATTTCTTATTTAGCATACTATGGTGCCATCACTAACGTTCTTGTGCAACTCTTGTCATATTGTTTACATCTTTGAGTCTTTGATGCAGTGAGCAGAAGTGTACAGAGAGTAAAAAATACGCAGCTGAACATGGGTTGCCTATCCTGAACAATGTGCTGCTACCAAAGACAAAAGGGTTTTATGCTTGCATGGAAGATTTGAGGGGTTCATTGGATGCAGGTTACTATTTTTTCTTCTATGCTTTGCTGCTAATATTGGCCTCTGCAGCTCGTTTATGCTTCTTAAAACTTGATGAAAGTACTCCTTTGATTAAGGTATACATAGAAAAATTAATAGAGAGAAAAATTAGAAAACAATCTTAGGAGGAGAATGAAAGGCATTTGAATCCAAAATATACTTGGATATTTTTTTTTCCTGTGTTCTTAATCAGCCCGCAAGGATAAGATGATGTTGTCTCATTTATATTTGTTGTTTATAGAAGAAATAAATGTATCTGAGCTCCCATAGTATAAAACTTGAAGGCTGAGCTTGTTTCAGGTTCTGGTAATTCCCTGGTTGGCTGAATAGCTAGTCACTCACAGGAATGTGATATTACACGTCTTGATTTTACTTCGAAACTCTTGGATCACTATAGATCTGTTCTCTCTGTTTATAGTCTACTTGTTTGTCTTGTACTCATTGCAGTTTATGACGTGACCATTGGCTACAAACCTCGATGCCCATCTTTGTTGGACAATGTCTTCGGGGTGAACCCTTCAGAAGTTCATGTTCATGTCAGGCGAATAGCCCTTGGTGAAATTCCAACATCCGAGGAGGAGGTTTCTGCATGGTTGACGAATACATTCCAACTGAAGGACCAATTACTATCTGATTTTTATTTGCAAGGCCATTTTCCTCATCAAGGAACTGAAGGGGATCTTTCAACAGTGAAGTGTCTTGTAAATTTTGTGGCCTTAATGATGTTGATTAGCACATTTACATTTTTCACTATCTTTTCTTCAGTTTGGTTCAAAGTTTATGTATCTTTAGTGTGCTGTTACCTGTCATCAGCAACCTACTTCAATGTTCGTCCGAAGCCACTTCTATAAGGTGGCATAGAACATCAATTGCAGGTTAATTCAATTTCATGTATTCGTCTTCTAAGTTTTGGTTGCTAGAGCTTCACTTATGACCCTTCAAATTATTAAGTGCCTCGTGAAGTTCCAGGTTTAGAAAAGATATCCGAAGTTTCATGGGCGTTTATTTTCCTATTTCAAGTTAGTGGTGTAGCAAGGCTTAAAAAGCCAGTTGCATTTTGGATAGATCTTAAAAATTGCGCGCGCGCGCACACGGAGAAGGATGCTGTAAACCTCTGCTCATATTGGGTAGCTTACTCTCATGTTATGCCTATAAATAGTTATTGGTACAGGCTTTCAAGTTCACATGTCACATCTTGCAGAATGCCACCTTTGTGTGGAGTCTGTTCTCCACTTTCGTGCGGTGATGCATCTTGATATGCCACCTCAAAAACTTCCAGTGCTCTATCTACCATGACATGAGAGCTGGGGTGATGTAGGATGGGTTTTATGCAGTCAAAAGGAGTTGGTGGTGATTAAAACTCACCCAGGAAAGAAAACAAAATTTTACGCTGACCAGTTCATTTGCCATTTAAGAATCCATACCTACTTCTGGTTGACTTGAATTTCCTCTTAAGATGACCTATTCACGCATTGGAGGAAGTCTGATTTGATCATATGAAGAATTTTCATCGCTCCCTAATTTTATTCCTTCCCTTTCGTTCAAATCACAACGCATGCCTTTTTCCATTTCTTAAGATAGAAGTATCTTTGCCTTGTTATTTTTACTCTTGTATGTATCTTCTAATGTGTGATGACTTTCCAAGTTAGAAGTGAATTTCACCAGAAATTTCCAGTCAATTACACAAGTCCCTCCTTTGTTAATGATGGGAGAGTTGTACGCCAAGTGTTTGGAAACTTGCATGAATTTTTTGTTACATGAACGGACTCCGCGCGGTCTATCTGATAGTATCTAGAAAGAAATATCACCCCAACACAGAAATTTCAGTATTGTCAGGTTCTAGAGAATTGTGTGAGCATACTTTCTGCAGGGGAATTGCGAGGAAAAGCCGAAAAAAAAGGAGGGGTGACTAAACTCAATGGGTATACACTGAACATATTTACCAAACTGCTGGAGCAAGAAACAGGTATACATTGAACGTAGAAATCAATGGTCACAATGAAAATAATTAATGAACATGAACTGATATTTGCCAGAATGGAAACTAATAAAATGTTGCTGCCTAAACATCAATGGCAGTCAAGTTATTACTTAAACATTAATGAAATCGCAATAATCAATCATACAAACTAGAAAATGGGTATTTTATAATTATCATAGAACACAATTAAGAATCAGATATATCTCAGAATATCAATAACTATCCATGAAAGTATCAAGAATCATTATCCGTCTAGTTTTGGGGATTTTTAATGATCCTTTGCAGAACCACAGTCCGAGCCCTCCTGATATCACGGCTGCATGTATCAGCCTGTGCTCCTAAATCCTCGACATTCTTCATGAACACCCCCAGCTTCTTCTTGATATCCTCTATTGCAAGCTTCACAGCATCATGCTCAATTGCAAAGTCAGTTGTTTGCATTAGTGCTTCAATCTCAATCTCCAGGCGATTAATTAGAACCCGAATGGTGTCAAGGTCCTTTATGGCCACAAAAGTACCAACTTGCATTGTGCTAATCACCTCCTTCTGCCCCTTCAATGCATTTTCATAATTCTTCCACAAAGAATCAATCCACTTCCCCATTGAGCCTAATGGGATTGATGATGCCGCAGCAAGAGCAGCAGCAACAGGAGGGGCAGCCATGGCTGCAGCAACAACTGAGCAAATCAATACAGTAGCAAAAGTAGCTACAAATATTATACTTGAAACCTTCCTCCAAGCATGAATGCACTTGAGCTTCTTGTCAAGCTTATTCTTCCTGAGTTGTAGCTTCTCAAGCATCGTTATCTGTTGCCTGTACACAGATTGAAAGATTTGAAAGAATTCCTCCGTGAAAGGATCACCTGCTGCCTTGAAACTCTTCAGTTCCTCTAAGGTCTTCACATACTTACTCCCTCCTGCCTCACTTTCCTCTTCGAATTGTTGAAGCGCGACAAGAATCAGCAATTGGCTATCGCGGGCACGCTTTAGGCACTTCTCCAACGCTGCGCAGAAATCTAGAGTTTGCAGGCTATTCTCAAAATACTCCTCAACAAGCTCAAACAATTCTTGATTCTTCCATATGTCTCTCTTGCACTCCAAGATAACCTTAACAACCTCTTGGTTCATCTCCAACAAGCATTCTGTGACTTCCTTCAAGGAATCAAAAGAAAGTGCACGGACCTCAACACCGACAGCAAGAGTATTGATGACATGATTGGTCCGAGCTTGGAGGGTGGTGTCAAAGGACTGCAAGTCCTTGTCAAGCAGGCAAGCAGCCTCGTAAGAGCTCAATCCAGTCGTGTATTGTAAATTGTTGTTGAGATTGATAGAAGAAGATGATGCTTCAGCTGGCCTCTTGCTCACATGACCTCCCATAGCCTCAATTCAAATCTAAACAAAGCAAGAATTAAACACAAACCTGATTCAATTTAGTCCCTTCTTGCAACTTCCCTTTCTCCTAACAATAATGAAAACTACTATACCTCTCTGCAAAGAGAAGATCCTACCCCAGCAAAGTTATTATATATGAAGAAACAAAGACTTGCCACCAAATTACCAACAAAGAGTTGCAAGCTTTATACAACCATAGATGATCAACGTCGACCAAAAAGTATCATAGACCACTAAAAACTTCTTAAAGAGAGCTAGATTCTCAAGGCTCTGAAACTGACCGAGTAAAACAAAAACCAGATAAGAAAGAACTACAGGTTAATTTAAGCCTTTGAACCCTTTGTTGACAAATCAAAGTAGAATATCTTTGAATCAACAGGGGCCAGTTATTAATTTGACAAAAGTTAATGGGTTTTTCTTTATAAACAAGTAAACTAATAACATAAAGCAAAAGAGAAGAAAACTAAATTAGCTTAAAGAGAAGTAGGGGTGATTGAAGAATGAAGAAGCTTAAAGAGAATTAAAATCATCAAGGACCAAGAAATAAGGAAGAGGGGTGGCTAAGCTAGTGGTGTATATTGTGGTGGATTATAGCTCTGAAAGATTTTAGCATAGCTTGCACGCATGGCATTATAAGAAATTGGGTCATGGAAAACGCGGGAAGCAATGTTCTCTCCAGCTTTATCTCTTCTTCTTAAGCTCTTTACAGTTTTCACGCGCAAAGCAACGGTTACCGAAGAAAAGAGAGACCTGTAGTTGACTCGAGAGTTATTTCATATCTACCAAAAGTTTTGTTTTGTTTTTTTATATATATATATATAATTAATATCTCATCATGAGGTGTAGTTTAACTGATGTAATTTTTTTTAGAAAAAATAAATTTAAACTTTTCTTTTAATACTTGAATATCATGCAGAATGATATATATATATATATATATATATATATATATAATTCTAAGAAATATTAAATAGTAAAAAAAAAATCCAAGAATAATAATATAGTTTGAGGAAGGGAAGTTAGGATATAGCTAATTTTTTAATTGAAAAGTTTTCAAAGGCAATCGATGCCACTCATGTGAATTAAGTTAGGCCGTGACAAGGATATAAGTTAAGAGTTGGATGCTCCAATTTTGCAAAATGACCAAATTGCCTATTTTGTTGGTTTTGTGTTTTAGATTTTGAGGTGTTTAGAAATTCTTTTAGAATGATGTTTTATTAAATTTTGAAACTCTTTTAGTTTTAAATGCAACCCTAAATTAACCATTTATGTGTTCTTGTCCATTTTATTTAAAAAGTAAAAAATAAAACCAGAAGTGTGTGTACGTGATTTGATACCATCCTTGACCTTTAAGTTTCGAGGCATTAAAATCACATGCTTTATTTATGATTTAACTCTCTAAGTTTTCTGTCGTTGATTTAACGCTCCTAAGCACTTGTCTCTAAAATTACAAGAATATTGCTCCCTGAGAATTTTGCTTTCAAAATAATCCTTCTATATAATATATATATATATATATATAATAATAATAATCTTCTATATATATATATATATGACACATGAGATAACAAGGGAATTAAACAGTTTGTGTGCGAATTTTGATCAAATGGGAGCCAGAACCTCGCTGATTAAGGAAGATGCCTATTTAGCATCTACGCTTGTAGAGCAGTTCTGGCAGGGCTTCCTGTTTATGCATTCTAGATTTAATTCTTAGTGTATATTTATTATTTTTGTGGTGTTTTATTTATCTATTAAATTTATATAATATTTAGTAGATGCAGGAATTAGTTTTAATATATGTAAATTGATCAAGATATCCCAAATTATCAAAAACAAAAAAGAACGAAGCCTATTTAAACAGTATATTAGTTTTTTTAGTGATAAACATTTTAAAAAAATTACTTTTTTGTAGTGATATGATGCTGGAGTTTTATGATGGTTAATATGATAATTATTTGAAATTTATATAATTATTAATTTATAAAATTTATAAAATTAATTGAGGTATATAAAAGTTGATTAGAACATCCAAATTAATAATTAAAAAACAAGAAGCCTATATTCTTCTTCTTCTCTCAATCAATATTTTTCTTGGCCATTATTTTGACAACGTTAAATGTTACGCTTTACTTGACCTGGACTACCTGTACATGGTAAGACACCAGAACATTGAAATTATGAAATATATCAAACGTTAAGCATACAAAATATTAATTTATGATAAATCGATGCCGGCCCGTGTTCTGTTCATGGCAGTGAACCTTTTTTTGTATCTTGCAATTAGCCATTAATAGATATCAGAATCTAATGGTTTTAATTGCAGAATGAAGATGAGATCAATGATCGACAAGAAATTTAAAAAATACATGACTTTTGTTCTTGAAAACACAAGCAACCTCTGTAAAGTTGTGCTTCGAGGTCGGATTAGAGGGAAAAGAGCTGCTCTAGCTAGGTAGGTAGTTGAATTAATGCCTGGCTTCTCCATCAGATTACCCTATTTGTCCCGAGAATGCTAAGCCTCGTCAGATCTTAACTCGTGACTTGTGAACCAAGAAATTCCATATTTCTAGAAATGCATAAAAAATATTTGGAGAAATATATACAATAAGACAAGCAGTTATTGGTTTCATTGCTGCCCCTTAATTTATTTAAAAAAACAACGTTGTTCTCTAACCGTTTGATGGATGTTCTCCTCTTGTCTACCGTCGGTGGCGTGTGTAACCAATATTGCTTAGAAACAAAATCTGATTCCATTCATAAACAATATGTTTCTTTGAAAACCAAACTGAATAAAATAAATAATTTAATATCTCTTTTTTCTGACGAAAAGAAATTACAGATTCTAATTTTCCTGATGGGACTCGTTTGAATGCCCAGATTTCATATTGGATCACCTGATCGTACGGCCGACACCATTATCCTCTTCTTTTTTTTTTTCCCAGGTAAAAAACGAGGAGATAAACTGATCTCGTAATGGCTTAGACCGTAAATTACGCCAAAACCAGGGAAGTTATTAATGTGAAGGATCGTCGCAAGAGCCGAATCAAAAGAGAAATGGTTTTCTGGTGACATCTCTCGAGAAGACGCGTCACACGGTGACAAGTGTATGTTAATCACTGGTTACCGCCTTTTTGAGGCTTTGAAAATGGTTTCACGCCACGTCTCCACAGATTCTTGAAGTCACGTGCGTAGCGACTCCTTGTTGCTTTTCTTGACAAGACACCTGACATTATAATTTTTTCATTTTTGTTTTTTATCACACTAATATTACATCCTCGGCATGTCTATCATGTACAAGAATATAACTAACAGTTGTTCATGAGGGAGCCGGACATGAAATCCCCATTCATAAGTAAGCAATTGATTGTTTGACTTATTATGGGTTTATAAATGGTCCGTTATTTTTTAAAGTATTTTTATTAAAAAATATTTAATTTTTTTTATTTTCTAAAAAATATTTTATATATTTATATATATTAAAACAATATAAAAACATAAATAAAATTAAATAAAAAAATAAATTTTAATAAAAATATCTTTTTTCGAATATTTCAAAACAGTGGAAATTTGATGCTAAATTGTCACGCAGCGAGAGCTAGCGACCGATTGAGTTTTAGAAGATTGACCATCTACACTCGAAATGAAAAAATTACCAGTTTTAATCTTCTTTTATGGCAATCTCCCTTCCCTTCGATTATTAGATTCGAATCAAGACGACTATTATCATATTAAATTCATTTAATATTTTAAACGAAAAAATCTCTTATTTAAATGATTTACGGCTTAATTAATTGATATCAATGTTTCTTTCTTTCTATGGGGAGGGGTTTCAGTTCAAATCTCTTATTTATAACATAAATAAATAAATAAAAAACTTGATTTTATTAATTTGATGATTAAGATCCCTTCCCGAGTGATTCTATAAATGCACTTTATATATACATCGACATGCTTTATTAATATATTTTTTTTAATAAACTCTCTTAGATACTGGTGGATTTATACTTAAAAATTAATCAAATATATACCTAGTCATTATCCCAGCCCTTAATGCCTTTGTTATTACTATTGTTACCTTCGTTAAAAGAGGACTTCTAGAAAAAAGATTGTAGCTAATGACCAATATCGAGTGATAAAAATTATAAAGTACTGCATGCGTGGTCATAGTGGCGTGCAAAAAGCTCATTAACACTTTAATGTGGACTCGTGATGCTATAAATATGAATTATTAATATTGTGTCTGGCATCCTCTTAATCAGATTGATCAATATTTAATTTTATGTTTCAATAAAATATAACCATTATTCAAGAATTGAATTTTAAATAATTTAAAAATAATACAAAAAGAAATTAGAGCATACTAAGAATAATAATTTAATATTAAAACTAGTTTTTCTAAAATAATTGTATCTCATTTGAAGAAATATTTAAAGAAATAAAATGAAGGTGATGATATATTAGAAAAAAAAATATTTTTTTCAAATATATAAACTAAATTTATTTATCAATGGAATTTGAATTCAATCACGTAGAATTAGTTTCAAACATATACACTGAAACAAGACAAATTAAGTACTCCAGAAAAGAGAATTATAGTTGGGCATCAAATGCAAAAGTTTCACCTTTTTAAATACAAAATATTTATTATCTCTGGATTCCATTAAAACACAGAGATGTGCACTTCAACGAAGCCCGTGCCAAGCACGGCCCAGATAAGGTCACACATTAGCATAAGAGAATTGCTGATAGACGGAGAATCAATCTTTCTCTTCCACTGGTTAATTTGTATTATATTTCATCCTCTTGGAGATCTTCTAGGCATTTTGCAAAGGTAAAACCTCGCAAACGTCGAGAAGTATTGCCCACCAACGTCTACAACTTTTGCGCTTGTTTATTCATGATCCTTGACCATCACTAAGCTGTCATTAATAATAGATGGGAGTGTACGTGAACATGAAACATGCTTTGGACGCAATAATGGAAGTGTGGAGACAGCCGAAATGTACAATAAAGATAAACAGCTAGCCCACTTGTTAGCAAGTTGCAATATAAATCTGATATTTCAACAGTAATCTCTCTCTCTCTCTCTCTCTCTCATATATATATATATATATAGGGTACTGTTGCAACTTTACACAGAAGTTTGGGCATCAGGGCATGGGCAAATTTACATCAAAGCAGCAGCTTGAAATTGGAGCATTGTGTATGAACAGATGGTGAGCTCAGCACTGCAACACCTACAGTGCAAAATTATAACTACCATCCCACTATAGGACCAGGGCGAATTTATAGATAAAAAGAGTAAAAAAGCGTTGTGCATTATGGATCGGCTCACTGTATGATGCCTGTGTCACAGAATGCTACAGGCGCGCTATATATGAGGGGCGGTTACGTTGCTTCAACTTGGGGGCTAGGGCTGTATGCTGAGAGCAGGGGATTGCTAAGCTGTGAGCTACTGCTATCATTTTCTTGTAAAGCACAATTAACGGTGACATCATCGATATCACGATTAATGGGAGTTTGAATTAAAAGTCACCCAAAATATTAGATGACTTGACTACCAAGAAACATGTGGACCATCACAAACATGCCTGGTGTTCATTGCCAATCAACTTTTACCCTCGTGGATAAATGCTTTTGGGACTTTGCACCTTGTTTTTCTTCCTCCTTTGACAATTTAATCACAAATATTGATAAGATATAATTCGCGAATAGTTAAGTATTTATTGATTAATTATTATACTTGATAGATA